CACAGTTTATTATTCAACTTTCATACACTGTTCGAATTCCGATTTTCTGATTAGATGATTTTACCACGTGGTACTGGGTTGTGACGAAACAACCTCCTTGACCTCATTATCGTGGTGTAATAGTCCGTGAACTCGTGCAGGTAAATCCCCATAGTTCATTCGCTGAGTGCGTTAACACGTAATTAATGAATATAAATGTAGCTACCGGATACATTCAGCCAAGAGACTCATAAAAAGTGAAAAAATTTATAGTCCATGGTTGAGGAAGTTTCCTATAGATACCCGCATGGGAAGATGTCATCAATCTGCCTGAAGTTCAATGCTCTTTGTGGCGTGTTTAATGCTACCAAAGGGCAAGGTGTCGACAGTTTACTTTAAACGTTTTTTTTAATAAATTTGGGTGTATTTCCCACTAAAAGATCAGGCCAACAATATCTGGCATAATTCCACTATTACGCCGTTATACCTCATTGGGTAACGAACGCGAAAAAAATGAGTAGGTCAAACGCAGCGAAAGAGGAGAAAAATGCGAACGGGGCGCTCAGATAAGGCTTCAGGATGAATGTCGAAATCTAGGCGGCCAAATTGTTAGTAAATGAAAGAATAGTAGAATGATAAATCCCTCACTAGATGGTTTAACATAAGATTATATTTTTCCACACGCATATAAGCCTTGCAAAATATCCGCACGTATTAAATGTTAAATCATCGAATGAGATGTACAAAGTGAATAAGTTACTCTGTCGAGTACTTTGTAAGAAAATGTGGTTTTTACTTCTACTGCAACTGAAACAGTGATATGAGCCAAGGCAAAAGAAAATGCTGACTTCATATATAGTTTTCTTCTTATCACAATACACTGATCTTTTTAACTTACTTATCTGATTTATCTTTATTAATTTCTCATCAGATGGAGGAAGTCCATTGACAGCAATGCACTTGTAATAGCCAAAATCGTGATCACCCCTGAGTGGCACTTGTACTTTGTTTTCTCTGGCTGTGACTCTGTTTATTCCACTTCCTTTAGGTTTGTACCAGGAGAGTGTTGGTGTAGGAACACCATCAGAAAGACACTTCAAAGTCACTGTCTGGCCAATCCAAGACTTCCTAGATGACGTGGTGACATTTTGAATTGTGGACGGGTCTAATAATGAATACAAATGCAACAAGCAATTGAATAACTAATTGGTGATACTTCATAAGAATCAGAACATTAATGAGCTTTATCGTTCCACTACTGTGTCATTTTACCAAAGAAAGTAATGAGGAAGGCAAAATATGCCACAGTATTACATTTTAAAACAAGGCAAAAATACGTCGCAACATATTGGCAGCACTGAACGATCCAAACATTGTTTGTTTTTTTTCGTTTTTTACATTTGACTTTTAAAGAAGCGAACTTTTAAGCACAAAAGAACACAAAGGACATTTGAATGCTTTAGTTCTGGTTGTTTCCATCTTTCGCGTATATCTTATGCAATGGATACGATGCACAGATAAAGCCGTAGGACATAATTCGCACGCTAAAAGTTAAAATACTAAAAACTGAAAATAACAGTGGAATAATAAATCTCTCATTCGATGGTTTAACACATAACACGAGCGGAAATCTTGCTCGTTGCTTGTATTTTTTCCTCGCCTATTCAGGGCTTGGAAAAATTATTATGTTGACAGCGATGCGACCTCCTCGGAAACTCAAACTGGTGTTTAATTTACTGTGAGATTTATTTGACATGAAAATCCAATAAAGCAAGGGTACAATCTAAAAGAATACAACAGAAATTTTTAAAACCTGAGCTTCTGAGGGTGTTTTGTATAAAATTATCAAAGGCGTGAGTGTGGAACTTGTCGACCAACCCCGACAACTCATGAAAGTGTTTGTTGTAAGGAAATCGGGCAATTGTGGCAAAAAGTATATGAGCAAGGGCCTGAAATCCAGATAAGTTGTATCACTGAGCATCCAGGTTTTCAGTCGATTTCTGGGTGCTGGAGACGGCCTATTACGCGTACAGGCAGCCGTAAGGTACAGATAATCACACCGGAAACGAGTAAGCTAAATGTTTTCTGTTTCATCTGTTTTGTTACATTTTGAGATCGATTTGCTTGAGTTGTTTCTGCCATTTTTGATCTAATATTACAATACTACAGCTAGTTATTTTTCACTTCTCTCCCGGCAGGAAATTTCGCTAAATTGCCTACGAATAGCTTGTTCGTCAGTGTTGGGGTTATCTCGGCAAACACTTCAGGATAGCTGTACCATCTTGTGCGGTAAACAAAATCCGAAACATTTTTCCAGCGGATTTTGGATCGTCTTACATTGGATCGTCTTACATTGGATCGTCTTACATTGGATTAAAACCGCAAACCCTTTGAGAGAAACAAAGGTACATGTTAATGCAGCTCTTAGTTATTTGTGTCTTTCTGCACTGATGGTTGTGCCCGTTCTTTATGAGATTCTTATGTATTGCTTTCCTTCATCTCCGAAGCATTTCCATCGATAAACAAGTTGTACCATGTACATTTCCCAGTGTGGCCTTCATAATTATCCAACCCTGTTTGTGTTTGATTCGATTTGAAATACTGAAAAGATAGTTTTGCATGCTGAAATTAGGATCTTTTAAGTTGTACTCAAAATGATAAATATTGTCCTACTGACCTCTGAATGTAATTTCACTGCTGTGAAAACCGTAACACAAATTCTTGTACTGTTTCTCTGCAGGGTTTCTCAAAGGAAGCAACAAGTGGGGCTGGCATGGATTCCCTCATAGAACATAAGGGTTGATTATGGGATCCTGTATAGAATTCTTTATATCGAACCAACAAAATTCCAGATCACGTTATTACACACCGACATCAAGGAATTCTCTTTCTTTGACTCGTGTTTCGAATTCATGCAAATGTTCAGACAGGTAATTGTCTTTTATGGGCTCAGCGCTGGCTCCCGAACAACTGGCCTCCCCGTAATCATTCATTTGATGAGAAAAAAGATGTTTTTAGAGAACCAATAAAGCTATTGTTGTTTAATTAACGAAACGTTTTCATGTAAATCGATTTTGTACTTTCTCTGTTGACCTCTAACTTTTGAAGAGCTCAACTGTACGGACTGTATGGGTCGTTTTCATACTTCCGAATAATTTGCTTCTGGTAGGGTCTGAATCGTCGGTACAGCACCAGGAAGAAAATTGACTGCTACAAACAACAGAATGTTCGAACGGCTCCACGAAATCGGCTATTTTCACTAGTACAAATTTCACAAATTGTCGCTTCAAATTTGCGTCATTTGGAAATATTTGCATTGTACGCCCAGTTTTGTTTGAATCAGTACAAAACTGGACGACACAACGTTTTACCATTGTGAAAAAAATTGAATATATTGAAGCAAACTGTAAGTAAAAAAATCATGATGAGACCACCAAACAACGGCTGTGGAAAAGACTCCTTCGTGTCTCACGCGATCACAAAACGAAACTTTGGAGGTGCCACCCGTGACGTCACAGGAAAGATGGCGTCATTCAAGATAGCGAATGTTTCGAATTTGGAAGAGCTTTTACAAAGTGAAAATGGACTTTTGAGAAAAAACCAATGGTACCTTTGGTGTACTTGATATATTTACTAAACATCTATGTGTTTAATGCTTTCTAGAGAAGTTTGACTCATAGGAGAAAAATTGGCAGAGCGAACAGTCATACCAAGCGACACCAAGAGAAGATATAAGAGAAGCCCATACACTTCCGGAGTACTGTTTCCCCGACTCACTGTTCTCAGGTGAATACCCTACAATTGAACGCTGATATCTTAACTCGAAGTCGTTTATGGTCGTTTCTTTAATTTTGGCTCGTTTTCGCAAACCGATATTTTAATTTATTTCAATAGAATATCATTTCAACTGATACTAACATCATACATTACATCTGAAGAAGGAAACTTTCCCTATCCTCGAAAATCTGTTCAAAACATCAGGAATATCAACAGAGGTCTTCATCTGCTTGAAAATACCGCTGACTAACACATGTGCTGGTCACTTTGTTTAGTTGTGAAAACATCATCTCTCAATTCAGACCCCAATTTTCCCCCATACCCCACCCCAGCTGGTCCTCTTCAATAACCTCTTTTACAACGACTGCAGAGAACTTTAATAACGTGAAGGGCTAGAAAATAAACTTACTGAAGCTCTGCTTTTAGGCTTAGCTAAATCTATGTATTATGTGAATTCTCTCTTGTTTGTTGTGAATGGGTGAGTAAAGTTTTCAGCTCTGCTACAAATACGCTTTCAATAACTCTTTCCAAGTCCGTTTAATTTGGACATTTGTACTGTAAATTGCAGAGCAGAAACTAAATTGAAAGAAACTCACTGAGAAAAGGTCGTATTGACTCTTGTTGTGTCTGGTAAAAGTGTCTCAGTTGAATTTAGTTTCTGGGTGGAAGAAAGACCAGATTTACACACGCCCATTACAGCAAACAAACGAACAAACTCTCACAACTTCAAAACATACATTTGAATTTACTTGCACTGACTTTTGTTGTCATTTACTGACTGAACAGAGGTAAATCTTTGTACATTAGTTGTTGATGGAAGTGAAAAACACTTCAGCTAAGAACATTGACTGTTTTTGAAGAAAAAATTGTTGTGAGAGTTGATGAACCTTTTTTTCGAAAGTGTTCATGCACTTTTTTTTCAAGTGCTCTCTAATTGACAGGTGTCAGATAGTGACAGATACTTGTAAAAATAATGTTTCAAAGTTGGTTTGGAAGCCCTATAAATCACCTACATCATAATGCAAATAACAATGTTTTGGTAAAGCCTCCGTTACCTCCGTTTTAACTACAATTTACTCGCTCAAGGTTTTTTCAGTTTAAGGAGGATCTTGCAATAACTACAGCCCTAAATCAATTCATGTTCTTGGCAAGTGTTTTTTCCTTAGTTTTAATCGAGTTGTTCCACTTTATGTGACCATTCATTACAGGTGGAAGACAACACAAACAGGCTATTGTCACTCACTCAAAGTGACCACAACCACTACTTAGAGGTGACCACTATAAAGAGGTGAAAATTACAACAATTAAGGAGAAAAAAATTTGGGACTCTGATGACTGACCACTAAATACAGGGTGACTGCTTAATATGGTGCTGTTCTATATTGGTTTGATTGTATCATGGATTCAGCAGCACTGGCAGCTTTTTATGACATATTGAAAAAAAGACTTACATTGCACAGTGACATAAGCTCTTACTGTCTTTTCCTGTCTCACTCCATTGCTTGCGATGCAAACATATTCTCCTGCATTACTCCTGTTACTACTAGAGATGTTCAGCTGTTTGGTGTCTGAAAACTTAATCCCAGATTTTTCCCACCTTATCTTAGGTTCAGGAAAACCAGACGCATCACAGCTTAAAAACAGAGGAGCTGAAGTGTTAACTGTTATATTCTGTGGCACTTCTGTGAACTGAACAGGAACTGGAAAAGAGGAGAGGAACAAAAGAGTTTTCAAACCATAACATTAGAGTGCGATTTGGTTCAAAATCATCCCCTTCTTCACACCAGAGATAAGATTATAAAATGTAGCACGTACACTACAAAAATATTGAAAAAAAAAAACAAACAAAAACAAAAAAAGAAAACAAACTTTCACTTTGTCAGCTAATGATAATTTGCACCAGTTTTAAAATATTCCAATGAAAAGCAAATATTCTGATGAAAAGCATAAGTTTACAGTTTTTAGCGGACACAGGATAATTGCTTTGGCCAAGCAAGCACCATGTGATGCCATTCCTGCCAAATCATTGCTTTGTTTCTATGATGCACTTGTAAACCATTATTAGGCTTGTTTCATTGTTATTAGACACAAGTTCATCATAATAAGTTATTGGTTTTTATTATAAGGCACCTGCCATTTTGTTATTAGGCAAAAGCCCATCATTATTAGACATCTGTTCATCATTATTAAGTACCAGTTCATTATTATCAGGCACAACTTTAGCTTTTAGGCACCCATTTACTATTAGGCCCTGGCTAAATTTTCTGAGACAGGCATCCTTCACCACCCCTTTCCTAAAGTACCTTGGGGAGGAGCATTGTGTGGAAAGCTGAGAGAGTCACTTCTTCAGGTGGACTTTTTTTTCTCCTTCCCCTAACCCACCTCACACTCTGCACTCATTCCCATTACTCCTAGGAAAAGCCTGTAAAGGGAGGGAGGGGGGGGGGGGGCAGGCACAACTTATCAACCTTGTTACTTGGGTCTCTATTCTTCCCTGGTCAGGGATGTAATAATTCAGAGTGTTGGAAGTTTCATTGATGCAATGTAAATAGGTAAAAAGTACTAATCAAAGTGCTCTGTGAGCAAACTCGTGAATTGACACATGATTTTTGAGATTATGTTTATTGTTATCTGGTTTAGGGAATTTTGTGGTTGATTGTCATATCTAGAGTACGAGCAGTAGTTCAGTGTTCGCTAATGTAGCAAAGAAACAAAGTAACGTTGGGACAAGAAGGCATTACAATTGAAATGATCATGCTAATACATTTAACAAGGTGGATGATGTCATGTGTTTTAAACGTCTATCATTTTTGTTTCTGGTTCAAAAGAAAAGATTGGAAGTAAATGTGGGTGAAAAGCGAAATTTACTGTCTTTCGTTGTAAATATTAGAAAATCAAGGCAATACTGTCTTAATGAAAACATTAACGATTCCCTCTTTATCAAATCAGACAAACGGGAACGAGTTTTGAGTGATATAACTAAGCCAAGCCTGCCACCGTCATTTTAGATCTCCGCCTGGGTAGATTTAAGTCACGTGCTAGGCAACGTATAATCAATAACAAGATAGAATTTCATTTCAGGCCTATTTATCAATTTTGTGGTGTGTAACTTTCGCATTTTAGTACGTTGTATGTATGTTGAATCTTCAAATTGTCTTGAAACTTACAAGAAAATTGTTCTTTAAAAATTCACTGAAAATCGGTAGCTAAAATTGTTTGTCTAAGTGTTATTTGATTTTCGTGTTAACTTGTTATTTCGTCAGTCGCCGGCATCTTCTGTTGCTTCACATAGGAAAAACACACGCGACGAAACGTAATGATCAATTTTGTCCTTAATCTCACGCTATAACAGAAAAAGCTTTTGAACATCTGTAAACTCCGAGCGCTTCGCAGTAAGTGATATTTTCGATGAATCTTCGGATTGTTTTCAAGTTCAAGGATTGTAAATTACAATTTTATGAAAAACGAAGGTTGTTCTGTTATTTCAGTGTGAATCCTTGAATGCTTGCCAGTCGCTGGCGCCGCTTGTTGAAACTAAAACGAAAAAAAAAACTCTTTTAAGATTATCATTGGCTTCTTTTTCACCCCACCACTATTCTTAGCAACAAAGGTCGGCATTTCGTCTGTTTATTGCTCGCCAAAAACTATCAAATGTACTCAAAAGCCTAAAATCTAAAAAAAGTTTACAGGAATCGACCAATCGAGCGAGCGAGCGAGCGAGCGAGCGAATGCTATTCCCCACATCGTATCTATAACTCGCTCTTGCGCATGCGCGCAATTCACGAGTTAAAAAAAGGCGCAAAGACATTTCTACCCACCATTTATGTTAAGTCTCACAGTGGCTTCTACTCCATCTCCAACAGCATTATGTGGGACACATTTGTACTCGCCATGGTGCTGAGATCGGTTGATGTTATTGAGAGTATACTCACTGTTGCTGTTATTACTGAGGAGGTAGCCATTGAAGTAGAACTTGTAAATTGACACTTGTGGCACAGCAGCCATAACTATGCACTTGAATGTAACTGTATCTCCTTTAATGACGGTATTTTGTGAAGCATTGGTAGTGAGCCTTGCACCTTCAGGTTCGTCTAAAAATGTAAATCAAAATCAAAATCTTGATCTCTGTTTATTTCAGGACTCACACATTTCCCCTGTTGTTAATCATAACCCCTTGTAAAAGTCTAGAGGGGGTATGATAATGCAATAAGGAAGTATTAATCTTGTGCATGAGTTAATCTTGTATCAGTTGATGGAGTGCCCTGGGCAAGAAATATAATGCTTTTGGAAAGGAAAATTGCAGCAAGTCATCCACCAATCTTCTCGGTTGCCCCATGTTCAACTCCTTAGGTTTTGGTGGTCAGCGGTCAGCGATGGCGGTCTGTCAACTAATTTTTAGCTCCGTTCTTATGTTCACTTTCCTCGTGTTTTTACTGTTCAGCTGCTTGAACAATCTAAGCCACTACTCTAATTGGCGGTTTTCCTCAATTGGGCATGGATTTGACACACCGGGAAGCGCCCCAGAACCTTCTTCGATGTCTTATCTCGATCCTAGTAGTTTTTGCCGAATCCGCCATTTTGGATTGAAATCATGGTACATAAGAATGAAGCGAAGGCGGTTTCTCCGAAGACGGCTTCTGTACTCAGCTAACGGAACAGCGTCTTTTAACCCATCTCTCCTGGAAAACAATCTTAGCGGCGACATTCATCCACATCCTGGACCAAACTCTACTTCTAATTCTTCATCTACATCGACGAACACAAATATTAGCTTTCCTTGCAACACGAAGTCAAACATCAGGATTGCTCATTTAAATATCCGCTCCTTGAAGTCCAGGGAACACTTCACTCTGCTAAAGGATTCCGTTGTCTCAAATAATTTCGACATCTTTACGATATCAGAGACTTGGCTGGATTCTTCAGTCAACAACGAGAGCATTCATATTCCAGGCTACACTTTGTATAGACAAGACCGTGGCCCGCACAAACCTGGCGGCGGACTATGTGTTTACATTAAGAAAAACTACAAAGTTTCATCACTGGAGAATGTATCCTCAGTTTCTGATAATAACTTTCAGCAATTGTGGCTAAAAGTGCAAAGTCGCTGTTATAAGTCATTCGTCATCTGCACAGTATATCGACCACCGAGTACTCCATTAAATTTTATAGATGATCTTGCCAACAGTCTTATCGAATCCCTCCTGTCAGGTCTTGATGTCATTATATTGGGTGACCTCAATTGCAACCTCCTTCAAGATAACGCAGAATCCCGTGCTTTAAACGATTTTTGCTCTACTTTTAACCTCACCCAATTAATCAATAAACCAACCAGAGCCACGGAGAATAGGGAATCGTTAATCGATGTTGTGATGACCACGAATGAGAAACTAATTGCTTCAAACGACGTCCTTATGTCAACTATTAGCGATCACAATCTTGTTTACATCTCGCTGAAGTTAAAAAAGCCAAGGATCAAGCCCTGTTACGTCACTATTAGAAGCTATACTAATTACAGCGCCGACAATTTCCTACGTGATTTGTCATATGCGCCTTTTCACATAATAAGCCTATTTGACGATTTCAACGATCAAGTTGATGTATTCAACGAACTGTTCTTGGAAGTACTAAGTCAACATGCTCCAGTCAAGAGGGTTAAAATTAGATCTAAACCTAACCCCTTTATAACACCAGAAATTCGTCAACTAATGAGAACGCGCGACCAATGGCGCAAACTTGCGGGAAAAACAAATGACCCTTTCCACTGGAACGGATACAGATTTTTTCGTCAAGAAGTGAAAAGGGAGATTCGTGTGGCCGAAAAAGTTCACGTTAGGACTCAGATCCTGGATAGCAATGGAAATTCTAACTCAATTTGGAAAATCATTAACCGGTGTCTACCACGTAAACAACAAGATAGTTTTATGGCTTCTGAGGATCCCACTGGGTTAGCTAACGAATTAAATGATTTCTTCATTTCCGTCGGCAGTATTACTGCTCAAAAAGCCAGGGACTTATCTTTACATCATGGACTTAATGTAAATTTGGATGTGCCGACTCCTTTACACATATCCACCGACGTTAGCCCCGAATTATTCGTTCTCCATCAAGTCACGGAAAATCAGGTAGAAAGGGTGATTAGAAGCCTACCATCTAACAAAGCTCCTGGAATGGACAAGATATCGTCTAGAATTCTTAAAGACAGTTTACCCAGTACGCTAACAACAATTACCCACATTGTGAATAACTCCTTTGTTACCAACACATTTGCACGTGCATGGAAAACAGCAGAGGTTACACCTATTCTCAAATGCGGTAATCCAGATGTCCCTAACAACTATCGCCCCATCTCATTATTACCAATAGTCTCAAAAGTCACTGAAAGGTTGGTACATGGACAACTTATGGAGCATCTAATTAGAAATAATAAACTGGCAGCACATCAGAGCGGAAATAGAAAGCTTCACTCGACAGAAACAGCTCTGTTGTACGTTACGGATCAGTTGCTCCAGGCTATGGATAACAAGAAAGTTTCCATCATGGTCTTATTAGATATGTCTAAAGCATTTGATAGTATTCGACACGACATCTTGTTATCCAAGCTACAAAATCTCGATTTTTCCCAGGGTGCGTTGAATTGGTTTCAGAGTTACCTTTCTAACCGACAACAGTGCGTTCGAATTGGTGACGCAGTTTCTAAAGTACTCCCACTTGAGTTCGGAGTTCCGCAAGGCTCTATTTTAGGTCCGGTTTTGTTTACAATCTATGTTAACGACCTCCTTTCTGTTCCTAAACGTTGTCTATCTGCCTCCTATGTTGATGATTGTAAATTGTATTTGTCCTTTTCACCTGCCGAATTACCCACGTCCATCCTCGCCTTAAACGAAGATCTTACGAGAATATCTCAGTGGTGCTGTAAAAACTCTCTTTTGATTAATCCGGACAAAACTAAGGTTCTAGCTGTTGGATTACCACAACTTTTTAAAGAAACTGTCATCATTCAGTATAACACTTTTTGACAAGGAAATAACACCTGTGCCTGTCGTTAAGGACTTGGGTGTTCTTCTCGACACACACCTCAGTTATAACCAACATATCACTGAGATTGCCTCTAAATGCCTTTTTAAATTGTACCAAATTAACAGAATCAAGCACCTCCTGGATAGGAAAACACTTCTGTTAGTAATAAATTCATTTGTCTTTAGTAAACTCCAATATTGTTCAACTGTCTGGAGTAATACCAGCAGCAGCAATATTGACAAGTTACAAAAAGTCCAAAACTTTGCTGGGCGAATTATTCTGGGACTAAGAAAGTATGACCATATTTCGGATGGGTTGCGATCGTTGAAATGGCTTCCTATTAGAGAGAAACTCATTCTAAATGACGCTACTATGATGCACAAATGTATTAACAAGCTTGTTCCAGACTATCTTGCTGATATGTTTAAATCACGTTCTCAAGTCCATAATAGACAAACTCGATCATCTGGTGCTTTGGATATACCTTTATGTCGCCTGTCAACAGGGCAGCGCTCCTTTGCTTTCAGAGGAGCCAAACTCTGGAACTCCTTGAATGATAACATTAAGTCCTTAAAATGCCCCAGGAATTTTAGACGTCATCTTGCAAATGTTTTATTAAGTTGATATATTATATTATTGATATATATTTTGTAATTATAATATTATTGTATTTACATTCTCAATTAATTTATATATTTGTATTTTTTTATTCTATTGAGCTGAAAAGCCCACTTAGGGAGCATCAATAAAGTGTATGTATGTATGTCTTAGGTGCACTTTGTCTGTAAGCAACCAGTCTGCCTCCTGCCATTTATGATTGGGAAGTTTATTAAAAACATCAAGAAAACAAGCTATGTCCCTTCAACACAGGCTAAAAACACAAAAAGAGAATCTGGAATGAATAGATTGGTAAAAAATTAGCCAATCAGCTACCTTTTAACTTGTTAAGTTGGCTAATGATACCCAAGGAGTAAAAACTGTCCAATCATCAATCTGTATTGTGACAGCTCATCAAAAACAATCTCAAGAGGTACACAGGTTACCTTTATGAGTTTGAAATGTACCAAGGCAGTCTGACTCTCTATTTCAGAAGTTTGCAGACAGTTAATCAGTACTATGGACCTTTGGCAGTTAGCAATGCTGTGGTAGATGTCAATTAAAAAGGGATTTAGATTTTTAGTTGGAATTTCACACATGAATGGCTGAATGTGTTCACGGTTTCTCATGATGTCTGACTTTAAATTCAGGATAATGTATGTGAGCCACGTTGGGTTCCAGACGGAAGCAGATTATTTGCCGTTGGGGTTTTCATTCACAGACAATGCAAATTTTTGTGATTTCACACTGATGTTTGTCAGAAGATAGCTAAGAAATGTACAAAGTTTTAAAAGGCATGTGCTGAACTGTTATTCTGCCCATTACAGCTTTTGTTTTGCGATTTCCTTGTTGTCACCACCGTTATAAGTTTTGCGTTAAAGTCCCTCAAGTGCTTGCACTGTAAAACAAACTTAGCTGTAACTGACGCACCATCAAATTTAAAAATACTTGTGTTGCATAAGCAGTTAGACTTTTTGGTGCAGTTTCCTTTTGGGTGCAAAATTAAATTTGGTGAAAATGATCTTAAACAATGTACATGTATCTATTTGGAAGCTCAAGGTTACAATTTCAAAATTTCTACTAGTTCCCAATAAAATCCCTTGATGGAGAAGTTCAGAGCACTGAGATGGATTCATAAACCAAAATTGGCTGACCACGTGTACATTTTTCCTATCAGAGTAGATGAGTCAGTCAACCCAGAATGAAAGATGTAAACACAAAGATTGAAATTACAGTCAATTTTTGTTAGCAACCAATTAACAGCTACAGTCTTTAATTCAAAACATTAGGGTTACAATTAATTATCAGAATTTACTACTCAATTAATAGTATGGCATTAGATTGAAACAGAGCTGACCTCCCTCATTTGTAATTCCAGCTACCAAGATGACCTCCACAAATGGCGAGTATCAAGTTCCAGCTGTATGAGTTGCAGCAAGATGTTAACACATGATCATTGGGAGAAAAATTACGAAACCCTCGGAGAGTAAATTCTAAATAGAGGCAATGTTTCTCCTACACAATATTTCAAATATAAATATATATTAACGAAAAAATGGCTGCTTATCAGAATACAAGTAATCCAAGCTATTATAGCAGAATGTACAATTTTTAATTTACAAAACAAATTTACAACATAATTTGAAAGCACTCTAGCAATAATACTAAAGCAACTATTTTCCACAGGTTCAGTGAAGAAAGTTGAATGATCTCATTGGCTTTATCATGTGGCTTACAAACTGAAGAAATGAAGAATTTATTTAAGCAGAAGTTGTCAATTTACATCTGGTGATATAAATTCATTGACTCAAACCCACAATTTTCCACTTAGCGATTTAAGCTTTACATACCACACGGCTTTATATTTTCTTTCCCTGCTAGGGTTTCTGGGAGCCAATTCCAAACATCAAGATCCAAGGTTCAGTAGTGCAAATAAGGTTAGAGTCAAATCCAGCAATAAGCTAATTACTGTTAATGCTGACAAGGACTTGTTTGTCAAGCTCCTCATCTCATCCAATCTGCCTGAAAGATGTGCTGAGCTATGACCTGTCTTCAATCCCATTTTCACTCACTAATGGAAGTCTTAGAAAAGGTGTTAAGAGCACACTATGCTCTCTTCTATAGAAAGACATTCATGTAGTTCAGCAACTTACAGTATTGACAAATCCACAGGTTGTTGTTATCAATGGCATGGCAGTTCTACAGTTGACAAAATCTTCTGGAGCAGATACCTTTGGTGAATATTCTTACAAAAATATTTCAACATCTTCAGTTCCCTCCTCTTTTCTAGCAACTGTCTGCAGGTCCATGTGGTCTTTAGCCAATACTGAGCAACTTCACAAAAGGAAGGCGTCAGCAAATTAAAGGGGAACATTCATTGGCCTCAAAAATTCAAATCAGAGGTCTTGCCACTCCAGTATCAAGACAATGGGGAAAGTATCTTGCAAATCCGGAAAAAAAGGTATGGCTTGAATTATTTAGTTCAGCATGTTTTATTTCCACCATTGGTTTATAGTTTTGTTACTAACAATTTAGAGTTGTAGCAATCAACATTTGTTGCATTTGATGTTTGTTTTTTCTTAAACATGAGTGCTATGTTTTTGACTCTAGGTAAACCAATGCAATTTCCTGTTGGTTGCTTTCTGCAGATTTGGCAAAAGTGAAATCTTTGTTTGCAGCTTTTACATGGCTGCAAAAAGACAAGCATTGCAGATGAATTATGTTATCACATGTTCTGCCAGAATTAGCAAAAAAAAACGAAATGCTTCCACCAACAACTGATTGTCTACTTCAACATCTGAAGCAATCAAACTACAAAGCATTCATGTGGAGTCATGCCCTTGAAGCTATGCAGGATCTTAAATCAACGAAGGGTCATGGATGGATGAAGAACGGGGAGCTTCTTGTACCACAGCCAATCACAAAAGCACTAGCACCAGTAAACCTTCTCAGTGACTTAGAAGAAAGCTGTGAAGAGAGTACCTTTGAAGAGGAACTGTTAAATAGTTGACATATGAGGCATCCATTCTCAAGAGGATAGCTTTCAGTCGATTAACGATGGAAAAGCTCAACAGACCAAAATAAGTTATGATATTGTGTTTTTTAGTTGCAATATGTATCGCTCCGAGGTAAGAGGTAGTGTAAATACAAGATTTGGAAGGATGACATAAGTATGATTTCACTTTAGGGCAAGAGGGCAGATTTAGGCCCCTTGGAGGTCACATGCTTGGTAATGGTAATTGAGCACACCTGGCTTCTTGCCATTAAGAGCTAATGATAATAGTCAGAAGTTTTTTTTCACAAAAACATAAAAATGGTCACAAACAGTGGTAACCTGACTGCCCCTCTTTTTCATGTCAAATCGTAAATTGGGCGAAAATGATATTTATCTCATTGCTTTAAGCTTAATAAACAAACATTTGGCTGAAACTGTAGACTGGGCAACCCTTTCATAGATAATAGCAGAATACTAAGGGATATTTCATAAATTTATGCCATAGAAGCTGTATAGATATTCTTATAACAGTTTTAGAAGGCTATTTCGACTCCTCCAGGGTCATATGGTAGGTCACATGACCTCAATTTGCACATCCTTATTATGATTGGGATAAATGTTGTTAAGATGTAACTATAACTGAAGGTTTCTGTCATAACAAGTGAATAGTTTTGGCATTACCAGTGGTTAAATGGCTGTGCCTTGTTTCCATGAATTGAAAGGGTGACATACAAAAATGCCTTCTTAACTCATAACTAATTCTCAATTCAACTCTACAAACTACCTCCCAAACCAGAAAGTCACGGAAATCAATTATCAAAGCACAGCATTTGTCTTTCCTTTCCCAGTCTTTAGATGGAAAAAAGTGAAGGTTGTAATCACTCAGTAGTAGAGTCCATCACTTTTGTATAATTTAGCACTCAAGTATTCAGTATAAGGTGGCAAGGCCTTCAAATTATGAATTATAAAATGGATTCTTGCTCTTAAATAGTATATCTTTTTGAATGCCACACATGCAAATATGTGCACAAATCTTAAGCATGTGGTTTTAGTTTTAGCCCATTTTTGCTTTTATCCACTTATCTCAACTATCAGTAAAACACTGAAATGTGCAATTTATCAGCTGACACTTGGAATTTTGGCCAGTTCTCAGATTTCCATCAAGCTTCAACCAAGGCCCTTTGCGCTAACCTTGTGCACTAGTCAAATGGAGTGAGTTTTGGGTTGTCACAATGACTCAGAAATGGCCTTAAGCCATTTTCTGAGTTTAACATAATCCAACTGAAGCAACAACTAGGTAAAAACATTTTCATGTCCTCCTAAGCAAAATAATGTGAGTAATAATTCCACTGAAATTCAAGTGTCCCAACCATGCAGTACTTAGGACCAGTGCATACAAAGCCAAAAAGAATTTGATGTAGAATTCAGTTTTCTTGCACTTTTGGACAGATTCGTCAGTTTTGTGCAACTGACCCTAATAACAGGAGTCGTACTGTAAACTTAAATTAAATTCAGATATAGAAAATTAAGGTTAAAATATACTTACAGTGAACTACAATTGTTGTGTTAATGGAAGTGACTTCAATTGAGTTATTGGCATGACATGTATATTGTCCTGCATCTGTTCTGTTTATATTATTGAACTCCAAAGATGCAGCTTCCTTCCCTGAACTTTTCCATACTCCATTTCTAATCCATGCTACATATGGTGGTGGTTCCCCAGAAGCTTTACAGGTTATGGTGGCATTGGATCCTTCAATGAAATATTTTCCTCCTAAAGAGAGGTTTATAAGTAATGCCTCTGAAAGGTAAAAGAAATTATATCATTCCTCATATGGTGTAGCAAATCTTACTTGGACTGAGTCTTAAAATTTACCCAGTTACAATAAAATAATCAAAAGTATCCAGCAATTAGTCTCCAACAACCAACCTAGGGAATTAAGGGATAATTCAGGAAGTCACTCATTAAACTAAGGACCCCGGCTTTAAAGCTACTCCCAATTTTCTATATAAAACTTTTGCTGCTGCACAAACAAATAGGAACAGAGCCAATCAAGCCACACCTCACTTGGAACTTAGCCTGAAAGAGGATCTACTAAAGCATCCCCAACCCAGAGAATTGAAATTTTGATGAAAGATAAACCATGAATGCTTTGGGATAAAAAGAATACACCAGTGGCATGCTGAATGCTGCTTGCCATTACCTAAAGTTAAAAGGAAAACTTACTAAACTCCTTGTATTGATTGTTCTTTTATCAAACATTACATAACTTGATTGCTCATCATGATTGTTCTGCAAAGGGAGTTTGCAGAAGGGAGAGTTTCTGACTTTTTCTTTGCATTTTGAAGAATCATACCCAAAAATGAGAGCAGGACATTTCGCACAAAAGACTTCTCGCACAAGTCTTTTAGCACAAGTTTTGGATTGTCGCACAATTCTTAGTGGTCATTTGCACCATAATTATAAGTCAGAAACATCAATATAGAAGGTATACTAATTGATACTGATAAGACATTTCCCCTTCACATGTCACTTTCAATAAGATCCAATGGCGAGATGTATTAAACTTAACGATCTTTAAAAAGATAACAGATCGAACTTGTCTTTCTACAAGATCACTGGTTACTACCTACACTGACACATTCAAGTTGTCAAATCACAACACTTGCACATGCTGACATTCGATGTGAAGCACTCTCTGAATGTCGAGTTATTAACGTTGAACTGTTTTTGCTGTACGTATTACCAGTATGCCTAATTGTCATTATATAACGAAGATATAAGAAGCAAGTTTTCAATAGCTTTATTTGAAACTCTTAGAGATCGATAAAACATGCTGTTTGAAGGCGATCGAACAAGGAGGGAAGATTCAGGTGACAATTACTTTCCTTAGCATGGGTTGTCATGTTTGTATGTTTGTAGTGGATGACGTACTGTCAAAGCTAAGAGGTTTTTCATGTAACAAAAGAAAAGTTATAGAAGTAGTCGTTTGAATAGGGAGTTCTTTACATTTTCATAGAGAGAAAGATTTGTACCTTTCCTTTCTTCAAGGAAGAAGAGTGATCATGTTCACAAGCATTTCGATCTAGTTGAAGTTATTACGTAAATAAATGTCTACGTTCTCGCCGTTGGATCTTGTGATGGTGAAATGTCTTATCAGTATCAATCAGTATACCTTTTTCCCACTTATAATTATTGTGCAAAATGACCACTAAGAATTTTGCGAACGGTCCAAAACTTGTGCTAAAAGACTTGTGCAAAAAGTCTTTTGTGCGAAATGTCCGGTTACCAAACTATGACGTAGATGTTGATTCCTGGTTTCACAAACTTAGCTGGAAAGACTTGAAATCTCAATGTCAAATTCAGAACACCTTAATGGTTTTCAAGACTTTTTACCGTTTGGTTCCCAAATATCTCTTGTCTAAATTTATAAAGTAAAACAAATTGAACAATTCTATGAGGGACTCAGTAAACAAACTTGTTGTCCCCTTTCCATGACCTAACTACATGATAGTTTTAGCTATAGCAACACAACCGTTTGGTTACCCTGTAATATTAGAGTGTCTGGTTCATTAAACCAATTTAAATGCCTTCTCTATCATAATTGTTAGACACAACATTCATGGAAATCAGGTTTTAAGTGGCACTTTGGTGTTAGTTCATATACTGTAAGGATTATGATCTTTAGGTTCTTAGGATATTAGTAATTGTGTTGGAATTTTTTGTACCTGATGAATACTTTTTTTTTTAACTGTGTAAATAATGATTAAATAAATAAATAAATAAACAAACATGAAAGATCCCATGTCATCTGGGAAAGGCATTTAATCACTTGATGATGAAATGTAGTCACGATAAAGATGAAATTTTTTTGAAACCCAATGCCAAAAGAATCATGGTTAACACACTAAGTCAAACCCTGTAAAACTATTGATAGTGCATGGGACATCTTGGATCTTGGGTAAGCAGACAGGAGCAGACACTTCTCCACAACAATATCTTGTTTCATAATAGACTCCATTCTTTATGTTACAACTTTTGTCCAAGGGCAATCTACATGTAAACAGATAACCAGCATTTTGGTAGAGATGAAAGGAGAGAGACTGCCCATCACATCTCGTAGAGGCCTTTGGGTTCTCTTTGATGTGCACATGGCTTTCCACAATTGCAAATCCAATATTTGCAAATTTTCCTTTCTCTGTTTGTTTTTAATTTTTGAAATAAAAAGTTAAACAATACTTTGCAGGCATATCAAACCTTGCAAATGATGTACAACAAAGAGTGGATTTGATCACTTGTCACAAAGCTTAACACTTCATTCAGAAAGTTTGGTTTCCATTTCACAGCTGTTATTTTCATTGCTTTGTGTGAAAAAGAAGTCGCATTTATGACTTAAATAACCAATCTATCGAGATTCAAGTATTCTTAACCATATTTACAGTACTTTCAATTTTAGGGTTCCATTAGGTTTGTACGCATCTCACTCAATCAAGAGGGTAAAGAGGAAGCATCTAAAAAGTTGGCAATCTGTTACAAAGATGGTAGTGATGCATGAAAAATAATTGCCTTCTTATGGTGAAAACAAAACAAAAAAATGATGTGTGGCCCTTGATTTTTTCTATAAGTGAAATACATGGATTGGCTTTGGGCTACATAGACCAAATGTGAATGACGATTCATTTTGCCCCTTTTAAGCTATATTAACCTGGTATCTTTCTATCAAAATACAAGTCAGAAATAGAATAAGTGTGACAGGTATTGCATTACAGTTAAAATAAGCCAACAGAACTCAGAAAATGCATATTAATTAAAATATTGTGTTGTAGAAAGTTACATGGTTCTGATGGAGTAGAGTGACAAGGAAAGGTTGAAGATTATGTAATGGCTGGTGAGCACAAACAGCCTTTATTCGTGAGTTGTATAAAATCAAAAACAAGCAAATGAACATGGAGTTTGGATTCTTCACAACAAGTGAACAAAATCATCCAAGCGAACAATGAGGTAAATTGTACATGAGTATTGAGATATCACAAATGTTTTTGACTTGAATCATGGTCAAATGACCAAGACATAACATACTTATTAATACCACACTTGTTTACATCTACTTAATGTTGTTAGGACATGAGTGTAGTGTCACATGCCAAGTAAAAGTAGCACTAGTGTTCCCAAAAGTTGGATTAGCTGGCCACTTTCAGCCTGCTTGTAAAGTTTGCTCAAGTTTATGCTATTGTTTACTTTCTCCAGATCTCAGAAATACGAGAGACATGAGTTGCATGCATTTGATTTATGTTTGATTATTAATGGTTATGTCTGTAATACATACCTGCCACAATAAGCTGAACTGTACTTTCAACCTCGCTTGAAAGGCTTCCCCACATTTCAAATTTGATTTTGGTATTGTCTTTAGGGTTGATGTTCTTGATAACCAGGGTAGCTCTTCCTTCAATTTTAACTCTTCCTTTATAAGATAAAGGAATTGAAGAATATTCTTGCACACCACGACTGTCCTTATAAATCATTTTGACAAACACACCATTTACCAAAACACTATAGATAATGCCTTGAACCTTATTAAGTGGATCAGTGTAGTTCCACACCAGGTTAGCATCACTACCGTTTTTAAAATAGCTTGGATCAGAAGGTTCCTGGGTGACTTTCACATCCACACCCCCTATAACAGACAACCATAAACATAATGTTCTTGGCCCTTTAGTTACAAGTGTAAGGATAATATTTAGGAAGAAGGGCTTAAATAGAGTTCACCACAGAGGCACTTTTAGTGTATGCAGCAACAACAATAATTTTTGCTTCTTCATTGAATAAAACAAGTAGATTCCATGGTGCCATCACTCTGTACTGTTATAAATCACAGGGGATGTCAAAATGTGCCAAGAACATCAGTGACACACTCAACAGCACCTTGCTTGTTCTACGCATTCAGTTAGTAAAACATAGCACAATAGTAGACAGTGCTGTAGTCTCCCTCGCTTTTCACTCCTTTGCTTCTGTTGCTCCATTTGCTATTTTGCTCTCTTTTAATAACTGAAAACTGGAACAAGCTAAGCTACATCTCATGTGCCACTTTTTTGTTCTTGCCATATTCTGACATCGCATGTGATCTATTACTGAACAGATGAACAGCAAAATGGAATCTACCAGTTAAATAGACAATTGAGAATTATGGTGGATTTATTTAAGTTCTTTTGTATAAATTGATTGCCAAGCACACTGGTGGTTAGCCACCAACTATTCACCTCCACTAGCAGCATCATGTAACAAGAAAATGGATTCTTGCTTTGCCGTGTTAAGCTAGGAGAACATAATTTCAATAAACGAAGCAGCTGTCACAAAAAATACAAAGACAGCAACCAAGTGTGCTTAGATAGCATTGAATGGTAAATTAACTGACCATTCAAACCTTAGTTTCTAACAGGAAAAATCAGATTTTTCTTTCACTGCATTGTAAAGCATTATAAAAGTGAAAGATAAAAGTTCAACTTTTTTTGTATCTTTGTGTCATCGAGCATTCTGAGCATTCTACTTATCGTGATCCAACCTATGCCAACCTCTTTTCAGGGTTTGCATGATCATCATGTTTGAAATGGAAAGCCACTTGACAAAGTGGTAAATATTCCTATGGCTAAAAACACGACTCACACTAATCAAGGAAAGAGTGCTCTTCTCAGTTTCAATTTTGATGTTGAATTCTGAACGTATAGTAGTGTTACATTTGAAGCATAAAATCCTTTGTTCTTGATTTCTATCGCATCATAGTTATTCAGACTTCATTCATACGTGATTGAAATCCCAAAATCATATCTAAATTTTGAAATACAAAAGCCACCTTGGAGTTCGGAAATCATTTGGACGAACATCACTTTCAGAAATAAAGGGTCGGCGTTTCCGGCTTATGTCTAAGCTTAAAATGGCACATGGTAAGAAACACTGTAAAGTCCTTTGTACGGGAGAATAAATTTCACTCTTACCTGACTCGTGAAATTTTACCAGTAGAAGAAAAAGTAAGTGTATTTGATGATCACGGAAAGACGCCATCTTATCAAACCTTTGCTGATGGTCCGATGAGGAAGGTGACGCTAAGGGGTTGTGTCCTCGTGTACCGGTACACAAAAGAAGGAAACATTAACGAATACGTCATAACTTCACGTATGGCTATGAAAACAATAGGAATTTCCTCGTGTATTGGTACGGACAGCCCCCGCTAAGGCGTTCGTCAAAGGTAAGAGTACATGGCAATTTTGGTCAGCGGGGAAATTATGAAACCTGAGAATATTGCGGAAGGATGACATCTAAAAACTGAAGGCAATTTTTGATTGAGACACTAGAATGCGTAATGATGGCGGTGACTAATCAATCTTCTTCATATAAATTAGAGATCGACTTCCTTGAGGAAAACCTTGAAAATTGTTCTGTTGAAAACCGGTACTTCTCGGGTTATTTCGATGGGAAAAGAGACGAGTTCGAGGATATGCTCGAGAGGTTTCTTCTTATTAGTTCCACATTCTTTATAAAGAGGTCAGCATTAGATTCCATCCACCAAAACCACCTCGGTCGAGAGGGACTAAGATGGAATATTTAATGACTTGCAAAACATAACCGAAGATTCTCGGAAATCCGCAAGTGATGTAGCCGAACATCCGAAGCTGTAAATCCCATGATTCTTGAGGAACAAACAGAAACAGCATAGCGAGAATTTTAAGTCGCGAACCATTGATGGTAGACATGCAGATAATTTAGGATACGTGAATTCTGTTGATGAGGCGCATAAACTTATTGCGGAATTTGAAACAGGATTGACGACGAAGTTTTCTTTCTTTAACGCTGTCAAAGGTTTCGGGAACACCGGTGTGTGTGTGCGTGTGTGTGTGTGTGTGTGTGTGTGTGTGTGTGTGTGTGTGTGTGTGTGTGTGTGTGTGTGTGTGTGCGCGCGCGCGCGTGCGTGTGCGTGCGTGCGTGTGTGTGTGTGTGTATATATATATATATTGATATAACTCTTTGGCATTACAAAGCTTTGCTATCGCTATTGTGCATTCTCACCAGTTTATCTAGTTCAAGTTCTCTGGCATGGCTTGGATGATACCACAATTGTGGAATCATTCGGATTAATTTAACGCTTACACCTCCTTCCTCGGACAGAAGTCACAAAATACTCTGGGAAGATGCATGAGAGATTTAAGGGGCAAAAATTCGTTTTTACTGGTGTGCCTTTCCGAATTTTGGAAAGGAAAGTGTTCAATTGCCAGCACGGCATAGATAGAACAGCTGGAGAGAAAAGGAAACGAAAAGATGCAGAAGAAGTACTGTATATAATAATTTCTTTTTATCCTCAACCTTTGTGTTTCTGTCAACTATGGCTTGCTAATTCAAAAGGTCAAATACATGAATGGGTCATATGACATTGATCTCAGAATACTTTTATGACAAACGTGATAACAATTCAATCTTGACTAAATTGAAGATGGTTTAGAACTTAACAATTATAAGAACTTTTCACTACCATATGCTGCTGACAAAGGAGAAAATATATGCAATTCTGCATTTTTTGCTTTCTATCAAGCAATCATATGTTGGCTCCTTATCACACTATGACACTTCCGTTTTGTCACATTCCAAAAAATAACTTGAGAAATACACTGTCACTCATCTTATACTGTTATATTTACCTATTACAGAAGGCTGAAAACAAAGATTTTGTTTTCAAGAAAATAAGATTTCTTGTCCAAGACACAAGGAAGTTTGACTGCAAAGCACAGATAAAAATGCGAGAAATTTTTTTTTTCAGAGAACAAGGTAGTTCTACTCATGTATAAACAGAACAAATCCAATTTAATAAATCAGATATGCGGCATGACTCCTTTTCTTCCATCCCCACTCAAAACAAGCAAACACACCTATAGAGGTTCCAGTCTGGTCTGCAAATGAAAAGGAGGAAGGTGATCACTGCAAAATTAAGCATTAGGGTTCTTATTTATAACATATTGATTATTGTATACTGATATCTAGAAATTAAGGTTGCAAGTAGCAGCCGGCAGCTGAGTTATAGTTTGAGTTTTATCAAGTCCATTACTTTGTTAAATTTAGAGTAACCTTGTCTTGAGAGAGGAAAATTGAGGAGCTGTAATATACTTATCATCAATTAGGGACCACAAAGAAAAATTTATTTATAGAGACTTTTGAAGGAGAGGGGTAAGACTTGTGACAAGCTGGCAGACATATAGATAAACTTTACTGCGAAATGGGGTACAATACAAAGTGCTCAGTATTTGGATCAGCTATGGCTCAACTTAAACTTTGCTTTAGCTTCAAGTTTAATCCTTTGTGGTTTCCTTTCTCTGTGTTTATTTTTCAAGTTATGTACACAGAAGAAAACAAGGAATGCTTTTGAATATCAAGAGGCTGGAATAAGCAAGAAACCAAAACTGAATTTTAAACAGTACAAAGTTAATTTGATCTTCCAATGTTATTTAATTTTAACCATTAATAGAATTTGCTATTTAAATTTATCCCCTCCATTTTTCTGGATATTGTGAGCAAAAACAAACAATTATCACAAAATGCATGGTATACAATGGTTTGATTCACCAATGTGGCAAAGGCCTTTCACTGTCTATCCATAAAAAGGGAAATAGTTTGTAAAATGTAAGACATTCTGCATCTTGAGTGTATACTTATTCATCCATGTGAAATTAAAGGTTACTTGAAATAAATGTGAAAGATTTATAGGATTTTCAGACCCCTGATAACAATTACTAATCTGCTGATTTGTTGTACTTGAAGGTTATGATTTTAGCGGAAATAGTGGAAGAAATTTCTGGACCTGGAATTTTGTTGCAAATGTTTGTTTAAATCAGTTTAAGTCAGTTAAAAACTCTCCTGTTTCAAGATTACATGATTACCACACCAGAACCTTTTGTATTCTATATTGTGCACTATGTTATGATTATGGTTTCAATAATAAAAGGTGCTGACTCAAGAACTTTCCAAAATATCTCTACATACAAAGAAATAGATTGTGGTTATGTACTCCAAATAGCAGGTCACATCAGTCTTCTGTAAGGAAGTAGCAGAAATTTCTATGGTGGTTTTGGTGGATGGAGAGAAACATCCACCAAAACCACTTTATTCTATGTGTTAAGAGTTATGATAATCATTATGAACGTTTGGTCGGTCAGCAATTGTGCACCATAAAAAATAATTAGCCAGAGCACTAACTGCTAATTAGTGGTATAAATCTTTTGTCTCCCTGAACATCTAACAGTGGCTATAGATAAAATTTAAAAAATATATTGTTGATGGTTTTGGTCAAAGTTTTGGTGGGTGTTCCCTAATGACATCCACCAAAACTACGTAACATCTGGGCACCTTTTAAATACGTGAAATATCTGCATAAAATTGCGTAAAATGTTTTATAACACTACAATCGAACAATAAATTAATACTTACCATTTCTTGAGTAAAAAGTTTTGACGCAATTTCCCAAACAAATAATACACTTGGGTCATCGGGATAAGTCGGCATGTTGTCGTAGTAGTCAAGGAGCCAGACCCAACAAAAAATGGTTTCGTTCAACCCACCCGACAGAAAAGGTTTGACAGCTGATTCTGATAGACCAATACCTGCTCTTTAAGATAAGATACTATGTAGTCCCGAATTGTGGTACCCCTGACGAGATAAATGGGGCTTTATACCATGACATGGCACTTAGCATAGAGACGAGGCTCAAACAGAAATTGACCTCAAATTTCATCTTCTTCCGCTAAAGTGCCCCAAACCTTTCTGGAAAAGTGATGAGCATGCACCTGCCTTCAATATGAGTGTTCACATGGTACGACAGTATGTCACGTGATTATCACATGACTATTTTTTCGTCAAAAAGCAGCCTCTTTTGTCGATCCTGACATATTTCAAATCCTGCTGAGACTAGGGTAAAGGACGTATTCAGGCTTTTCATCATATGAGGATGCAAAGAAGTCGTGTACTTTCGAATTACATTAAAAAAAACATTTGGAAGCGTAGAACTCCAGAAAATCGACAATGTTAGTGCTGGTCTCTCTTCCGTCACTGTTTACATGGAAACGAGGCTGAATAAAAGCACCCTCAAAACGGAAAGAGTTCAAGATAGATAAGGTTTGATATCTTAACTGTATTACGGCGACTTGTTTGCTCTCGTTTTTCTCAAAATTCATGCGCTGAGACTCTAGAACATCGCTATTGCACCTGCTAGTAATATTATCATTTGTATTTCCTTTCCTGCTTGATCATATTCCTTCCTTTAAAAAACATGTTTTAGCAATGTGTTGAGGTTATCAGCAGGAGTTTTAGACAGAGCTCTTTTTTATTTTAAAACTCCGTCAGATACGTAATTCTGATGTATTTTTTGTAAAAGCCGATTTAAAAGTGAAAACGTCTGGAAATAAATTATCTGCACAGGTAATAAGTCTCACAAATGCTGTAGACGACATGGAGGAAAAGGATGGTTGGCAGCTTTTTCCCATGCCAGCAAAGAGAGCAAAGAAAACTTCTTTCGATAAGTGCATTTTTTGCCAGAGTAGCAGTGACGTCCTTCGCTCTGGAAAACTCTCTTCAATACAGAAAGTCATATCTGCTCTTGAAGTTCGGCAAGATGAAATCTCGCATCGTTTGTCAGCTGACGATCTCCGTAATGTAGCCGGGAAAGATATTTTGTGGCATTCATCGTGTTACGAAACATATACCAGCAAACAGAATTTACGGTATTATGGAGTACAATCCTCAAGTGATGTTCAAGCAGAATCTAAAGAGCGACGCATGGTGTTTGATTGGTCAAAGTGTCTTTTCTGCAAAAATGCAACAAGAAAAAAGGACCGACAGCTAATAAACATCGCCACCTTTGAAGCATGCAACAGTATAAAGGAATCTGCAGAGGCAAGAGGAGACCATGAACTGTTATCCATACTTCGGTCGGTTAGCTATGATCTTATTGCAGCGGAGGGAAAATACCACAAAGCGTGTCATGCCTGCTATATCAGCAAGGTTAATATCAAAAGGAAACAGAACGTCGCTACATCCACAAGAGAGGAAAGCACTTTTGATCAAGCCTT